TGCAATGGAATATTACCCAGACATAAAAAGAATAAACTCTAGGTCCAGCATGGATGAACCTGGAGGGTATTATGCCAAGAGAAACAAGTCAGAGAAAGACAAATATCCTAATTTCAGTTATATGTGAAATCTAAAGAGCAAAATAAACAAAACAGAAACAGACTCAAACATACAAAGAACAGATTGATGGTTGCTAGAGGGGTTTGAGAGGCTAAATGAAAAAGATAGTGATTAAGAATTGCAAACTGGTCGTACTGTTGTCCCTCACTATATCGCGGTTCACTTATTGTGGCTTCACTGTATTGCGGGGTTTTTTAAGCCCACGATAAGGTGAAGCCACAAGTGAGCCGCGATATAGCGAGGGACAACTGTATACTTCACTGGTGAGTACCCATATAGAATTTTATGTTGTTAAAATTATGTAGGTTTAAGAGTATAGAAAGTGTTTAAGAGCATATGAAGTGTTTATAAGAGTGTGGGAAAGGTTAATAAGAGAGTGGGAAAGGTTTATAGGAGTGTGGGAAGGGTTTATAAAGCCTTAATATATATATATATATATATATATATATATATAAATAATAAATATAAAGCCACTACTTTGTGGATTTTCACCTATTGCAGGGGTCTCTGGAACGTAACTCCCGCAATAGGTGAGGGATCACTGTAGTCACAAAATAGTCCCAGTGATGTAAAGTACAACATAGGGAACATAGTCAATAACATCATAATTAATATGTACGGTGCAGGTGGGTACTTGAAATATTGAGGGGACTACTTTGTACAGTATATGACTATCTAACCATTATGCTATATACCTGAAACTAATACAAAATAATAATGAATGTAAACTGTAATTGAAATATAAAAATAAAATTTAAAACAAACAAAAACACATGGCCCCAGCCCTTACTGGACTTATAATTTAGTAAGGGAGAAAATAAAAGAAGGGCTTTAAGAGGTAATGAGAAAGAAGAGATGAGAGTTCAAAAGAGAAAATGACCATGTGCCATGTGCACTTTACTTATACTTTCAACTACTGTTGCGATTTAACACTAAGTTCCAATGACATGGTAAAAAAGTAGCTCTAACTGCCCAATTTTTATAACGTTTCAATTTGAAAAAAACACACTTAGGGCATTCTGATAGGTTATGTCTTATATATGCAGAATGCCTAGCAACCTTATCTCCATCCCTAACAGCAATCCTATTTATATAAATAATAAATCCTATTTATTGTCTCCATTACACAACTGAGGAAATGGAGTCAAGAGCCACCAAGTGACTCTTGGCTGACTTCAGGCTATAGACAGAGATGGCATCACTGAGAGCCAAGGTGGAATCTCTTCAGTTCTAAAGCCTGGAATCTGTCCATTATACCATTCTTCTCAACACAGACGGTGTAAGATTTAGGTTCAAATTCCAGTTCAACCTCCAAGTGTAGGCTTGACTTAAGGTCAATTTCTCCTGCACTTTGGGTACTTCCTCTGCAAACCTGACAAGCTCTAGACTTCTGAAAACTATCTGGGCAGAGATTCTCAGTGTGGCCCCTGGACCATCAGCATCACCACATGGGAGGGAACTTGTTAGCGTGTTTATGGCCACACAGGACCTACTGAATCAGACTCTGTAAGTGGGCCAGAAGCCTGTTTTCACAAGTTTGAAAACCAGGCCTTCAGCATTCTAAAGGAATGCAATCATTCTACCTTTTCTCCTCCACAACCAAGTGTATGACTCTCAGTACATTTCTTCTGAAGCTTTTACAGTCCTAGAAAATTAATATTTACAAACTGAAAATGTCTGTCAATGGTACTATCCCATCTTTACCATCCCCTAAGTGCTATTTTTATGGTACTTTATGCTATTACAGTTGTGTCTGCTTTTTCTCCTTTTGCCCACCTCCACCCAGCACCCCCCCACCTCCCTCAGGCAATACCCACATCCTTGTCCATCCATGGGTCAGAATCTATGTCCTTTGGCTAACCCTTTCATCTTCTTTCATCCACGAAATGCTATTTTTAAGTCAGAAAGAATTCTCCCTCATCAGGATCTTTCCTGCTTTATCTCTTCCTTCACCTTCTCTTTAGTCATTCAATATTCTATCTATCTTGTCATAAACCTATTTAAAACCACACTCTTCACTCCACAATCACTAATTTGCTGTTCTCAGTGCAAAAATGAGTCTATGGTTCTATGGAAACTCAGATTCCTTTAAATTAGTTTGCTAGAGAAACTAATATAAGTTTGTTCCATTCAATAGAGCACTCAAATCTCAAGCACCTGAACTTCTCTCACCATTACTGCTTGTATATTTAAACTTAAATAGATATAAAAACCCTCCTCTAGAATCTAGGGAAATCTCAAGCTAGAGCAATTTTCAGTGCATGCTCAAGCATATCAAAGTCTTACATTGGTGATGAAATATACAGCCCTTTCCCCTCCGAAAGAACAGACTGAAACAAATAGAACAAGTTAAAGACATTGCACGATGCCATGAAGTTTTAAGACAGCTAAAACTATATGCAAGTCCAAGTTGTTAAACTCACCAAAAAAAATAGTGATCACTGGGCTACATCTGAATCAGCTTGGAAACTTGAAAAAAAAAAAATTTCCCAGACTACATTTCCTAATTTTGAATCTTAAGAATTGTTCAGGGTAGAACCAGTTAGTTCTACGGTTTCCAGTGTTAACAGATTTCAGAACTACTGGCCCCAAGACAAGCTCCACTTTACAATTAATCAGAAGCACCACTGCACAAGCCAATTAAAAAATATGCATGAGATGAGGATCCAGTTCAGTAACTTTTCACCTAGTCACTGAAGCTGACAAATACTTCATGTAGGATTACAAAAATATATACAGAAAAAGATCACTCATTACAGCTAGATACTATTCTCCCATCTCATTGCCCTGGCCCACCAAGTAGGTTCTAAGTAGATAAATTGTTCCATGCTGCTTCTACCAAGTCCGTAAGGCCCCAAGCACTTATAACACCATGCATTTATGTATTACCGAAACAAACTATCAGATTTGCTGACTGTTTCTATTCAATAGATGGTGGGGGGCAGGGTGAGGGTTGATTAATGCTATCACTGAGGTGTTCCAATCTGACATGAAAAACAAATCATTTTATTTCATTTTGTAGTTTAAGAAAACACGCGTCTGTAGATGTGTCATTTCCCCATCTCAAATCTTTTGTGTGACCTTTTCATTTACCAAATCCCCACCATAAATTCTTAATAACTCTCCACAATGACCCTAAGTGACTTCCATATCCAAGGCTCTGCATTCTCTTCCTGCAAGCTAACTTCCACCAAGGGACTTAGAACAAAGCCACCAAACCTCTCCTAAATTCCAATGCCAAACCCAGTGACCTGTACGTCCACTTTCTCCTGCAGAGAACAAAAATTACAAGCTGATGTAAAGATAACCCAATCAATTTGGTGACAGGATCAATCACACAGGAATGCCTGTTCTCACCATAGGTAAACAGGAGAAATAGAGGATATGAGGTCAAAGGAAAGATGCACAACAAAAATGATAAAATCTTTAGACATTTCTCTTGGCTATAACAATTCATTTAAATTAGGCTGCTAATAAGAATCACCATGAGCATTATTAATTCCCAAAGTTAGCAATTTTTGCTAAATACTTGTACAAATACTTGAACCCTCTAAGAAGGCTGCTAATAAAAACTTTATTTGCAAACTTTGACATAGTGTTTGTCAGAAATGAAAGTCACAATAACCACTCCTTTGCATAGTTATTACCTTTGAACAAGGCATAAGAATTCACTTAGATAAGTATCTTTCATAACCTACCTAAAAATAGGATAGTTCATAAATTCTCTAAACTGTTCTTCCCTGGTATGGGCAGCCTTTGATCTTTAACGATAAAACTTAGCAAATTTTGGCATACTCTAAGGCTATTCTTGTAAGTTAGTAAAAACCTCTATAAATTCAGCATTATTTCTCAAATCTGGGAAGTTTTCTCACTCTGAATGCTTAAATATTTAAATCACAAATTGAAATGCCAGTAGAAATTAATCTGTTGGGGACCACCCTGCCTAGTCTCAGGAAGCTGTAACCCCAGGGAGACAAAACTTATTTCCCTGGCATGAACGCTGCCTGTTCTGTGCCTAACCTCTGAGCTTGATCAGTTAGCCAATGAAAGGTAAGATTTCCCAGAGGGAAACACCTAAGACAGGCATGATCACATGGAGGCTTCTGGGAAGAGACTCGGGGCTGTGGAAATGAAGGGGTGATGGACATCAACCCCTGCCCCCTAGGCTTTGTCAAAGCCCGAGTCCTTGTTCTTAGAAGTAATCCAAGTCTCCTGGCTGCCTTTGTCTCTTCTGTTGACTCAGGCCTGTGGAAATAACAGGGGCAGTGCAGTCCAAGCCAGCCGGTAGACACCCGGGGTAATCAGGCCTGGGACATAGAATATGCAAGATCCTGTGAGATGTTTGCTGGAGGATGTTATTAAATTAGAATATGAAGGCACAAGCAGGAAACGAGACTGGCCTTTTAGGTCCTGTAGTGACAAAACCCCAAACTCTGCCCAGAATCACAGCGGGGGTTCTGTCTGCACCTTTGTAGGTCACCTACTTCTTTTGATCTTTTCTGCCAGACTGAATCCACAAACTAAGTCAGTATTCTCAATAAAAATCTGCTTGGGAATGGACACGGGGCACTCTCCACTAGAGAGAGTGGCTGTTCTGTCCCTACTTCCCCACAGGACCTGGTTGTCTCTGTGTATGTTTTTCTTGTGTTTCAACTAGCACCTGCAGCAGAGAATGATACTGCTGGCCGGTCTGGCCGGTATCCGCCACATTAACCCATGGCAAGAAACTGACAGGAAAACTTAAACATCCAGAGCATACAAATACTTCAAAGCATTATGAACTCTGAACTTAAGGAGCACACTTTCCTAAATTCCAACTACAAGAAAACTGGGCTGTTTAACGTTCGATTATGATTTAAGCTAACTCAAAATTTTCCCAATTTCTGACATCAATATTAGAGGTTATAGCTTTATTATAGTAACAAATAGTTGTTACAGTGAGATCTACACACATATACAGAATATATTTAAATTCATATAGAACAATATTTACATTTTTAAGTTACAACTTTTGAAGTTTGAAGATGAAGTACAGCTTAAGTTTTATAGCAAAGGAAACAAAAATACAGAAGACAAAAATAGAGTTGACGGTAAAATATAGCTATCTGTTCTTGATACAACATGTGGAAACTGTCAGAAAACTACATCTTCTTAATCTGATTATCCAAATCATTAAAATATGGATGATTCAGTGCCATTTTGCCAGAAATTCGTTTGGCAGGATCGTAGACTAACATTTTCTGGAGGGGAGAGATAAAAATAAAAAAAGGTTTTTATTTATTTAAGGAATGAACCATTAAAAAAAACTCCACAAAGCCTGAACTTCCCTACTAATAAGCCATAAGCTAATTGTAACGAAAATCTGCTAAATGATTATTTCCATTAGTTCAATAGCAAACCACCAACATGTCTCATCCTCTCTACTTCACCCTCTTCCTCTAGAATAGCCTCTTCTTTCAATTTTACATATCTCGATAGCCTCTTTTTGCTATAAATTGTGATTTAAGATACAAGCATTCAGAAATAGCTTTAAGCCCATTAAGATATCTAGTTAATTATTTTACTTTGAAAATTAAATTGCCATCAGAGTTATTTATAACATTTTGAAATGGTGGCGATAAGCTAGTGATTTCTGATGTAGCTTCCATCAAGTTTCAAGTAAAAACAAAGTCAGAGTGCAATGTGTTATAAACACAGTTACGAGTAACTAAATGAATCAGACAATCCAGTACTAATTTATCTATTACCAGAAAAAAATGATCAAATTTAATATTGACCTTAAAGTTTATCTTAAAGAAATATTTATCTTAAAATCAAACCAGCATGTAGACAAGATATACTTTTACTATCTAGCTGCCATTTGAGCTCTTATTATGTATCTAGCACTGAAGTGCTTTGAAAGTATCATGTTACGTAATCCTCACAACAAAAGGTACAATATTAGTTCCATTTTACAAATTAAGACATGGAAGCTCAAAGTTAAGTAATTTGCCCACGTTCATAGAGCTAAGGAGTAATAAAGCTCAACTTTAAAAACAAGGTGTGGGACCACCCCCTAGCAACAAAGAAGGATGCAGTCCAAGAAGTCAATAGGGCCTAAGCTAAGGACCTCTGATTTTATAGTATTTGATTTTTGTTTTGTTAACTAAAGTGAAATTCTTTGTATTCAAGAATTAACAGAAGTTAAAAAGATAATTGGGCCCAAAATATGGAAGGTCTTTTTATGTCAAATCAACAATATTGAGATACAAAATATTAAACAGCAGGTAAAGGACTTTGGACTTCACTGAAAACTGGGAAATCTGAGCTGAATGTGGTGGCACAATGATGTCTAAAGTGTGAAAGGTGCCCAAAGACCAATTAGAACATGTATATGTTGATATAGCGATAGATTATTTTTCACTATGTTAGTAACCTGCCAAAACATTTTTCTAGAATGTTACCTGAGATTTATTAAAAATTACTTCCTTCTAAAAGCTCAATATTTAAATACCATTCTAAAATAAACTCCTTGAAGCAGGCCTAGGACAAGGTTTTTTTTTTTTAATCCTAACAGCATTTTTGTCTTGTTTCTAAAGAAAACAACTATTAGTTGGGAATGGCAATGTAAGAGACGGGAAACATTCTCAAGAACTGTATCAGTCCTTCACCTAATGTTTCTGATGTAGAAACAAGGTACAAAGTAAGAAATGGGAGTTCATGCAGTAGAAAGCTTTAACACTAAAAATATCAAGCAATAAGGGAAACACCTTTAACTAGGAAGGCTACTACAAGTCAGCAATCTGAACAACAAAGGTGTATTAACACTTTTGTTGCACAGAATATGCAACAGAATATCTGTAGCTATCTATCCTTTCCTGCACAGAATATCTGTAGCTATCTATCAGATAAAAATAATGAAAAGAACTAATGCCAATTCTCTTCTCAAAACCACCCAATTTTCTTGGTATCTGAAGTGGAGCTAGCAATACAATAAACATAACAGACATACTTGCCTAACCCACTAAATGTTAGTTTTCTTCCTATGTCCCATTTAAAAGAAAGGATTGAGAACATTCAGAATTATCAGTGACAGTCAGTACAAAGGGCACTCCTCACCGAGAGCAAATCCAAGCCATTTTCATCCAAGTTTTTGACATGGGATGCTAGGCTTCCTGGTTTCCACTTGGGAAATGTATTCTTATAGTCCTGTAAAGATTCCACATCTGGCCACACTTCATTGTTGGGGGTACCCAAAGCTCTAAAAGCCACAGCAAAATGAAAAGTTATTAAAGCATAACTATAATCTCATATTCATGTTGCCTTTAAAGTTCTTAACAGCTTAAGTAAAAAACAAAAATACCTGAAAATTCTGAAGAGCTGATCAATTTCTGAATCTCCATGGAAAAGTGGTTTTTTAGTTGCTAATTCAGCAAATATGGTGCCTATACTCCAAATGTCAACTGGAGTCGAATAGCGAGCCGACCCGAGCAATACTTCTGGAGATCTATACCAAAGTGTTACTACCTATTACAAAGCAAATTTTCACATTGAATAACTATGATGCATTAAATTACCTAAATATACACAATTATATTTCATTACAACTGCCTTTACAAGGCCTCTGATAACAATGTTTAAATAAATTAGCCATACAGAAAATACTAAATGAAAGATATTTCATTTTTATATTCTATTCATCAAGGTGAAGGGGGAAAAAAAACAACAGATAAAAGCACACCAAGTCTTTTCTTGCTTTTCAAATCATTAAAGTTGTGGATCAAAAAAGTTCAGACAGCTTTAACTTTTTTTTTTTAAAAAAAAAGGTCATTTGACAATGAGTAAAGCATTTGGGGTGACACTGAACAAAGTCATGTACTACTCACATGCTAAAAACATGAAGAAGCCATAATAGTTCATTAGCAGTCTAAAGCTTTAGCACATAATTTATCACAATGGCAATAATATTACCTCTGACTTAAAGGTGATGAGGTCAATGGCATCAGCCATGGGAAAATGATAAGTGATGACACAAAGAAGCCAAGACATCTAACCAGAAGAGCACTGTGGGTTTTTGATCTGGAGGAAGTCTTTAGGCTCAAGGGTAGACAGCTCCACAGAAGACACTTTCCCAATATAAACATGTGCCGCATAAAAATGCTTCAGTCAAGGATGAAAGACATACATGACAGTGGTTCTGTAAGATTATAACGGGCTAAAACATTCTTCTTGTCTAGTAAAGTCATCGCCATTCTCATGTCATAGCACAACACTACTTTTAAAAAAGTATTCAGTGCAGGCTAAGTGCATAGTGTTTATAAAGCCTTAGGTAGTTCACAGTAACCTCCAAGGCCTTCAGATTCACTCGCCGCTCACTCACTGACTCACCAGGAGCAATTTTCAATCCTGCCAGCCCCGTAAGTGCCCTGTACAGGTGAACCATTTTTAAATTCTTGTAGTGTATTTTGCTGTACCTTTTCCATGTTTAGACACATACCACTGTGTTGCAACTGACTACAGTATTCAGTCCAGTAACATACTGTACAGGTGTGTAGCCTAGGAGCAGTAGGTTATACCATACAGCCTAATACATAGTAGGTTCTACATTTGTGTGTAAGTGTATTCTATGATGTTTGCTCAGTGCTAAAATGGCCTTCAGATGCACTTCTCCGAACGGATCGCAGACATTAAGCAACACATGACTATAATCCCATACTATACAATCCAACATTCCCTTTCCCTCCAGAAATAACAAATGAAATGCCAAATCAACAATATAACATTGATGAAACATGTAGCTCCTAAATGTATGTTAAACAGTACCCCTTAAGCAACAAAACCTGTCTTTTAATCAATTTGATTGTGTATCAGAGGACATAATCAGGAGACAGACAGAAGCCACCCGGTGAATGAATAGGGAAAGGTTAACATAAAGGATTATTAACTATTAACAGGGGATTGGAATGAGAAACTGACTGGTAAGAAATAATGAGAACTCTATACTACAGCAAGGAAAATCCTTCCCCTCTGCAGTGCTTTCCCAGCACAGCCTGCTGACAAAGCATAACATCTCACCAGCCAGCAGAAAAAAGAAAGAAAGGTTCCAATTCCATTTTCACATAGTATACAAAGGAGGGTGAATTGGGAGCTGAGGCAATAAACTGGTATTGGCAGTTGAAACCTTTTTTGACATTTCTTTCTTGACTCAAAGAACAAATACAGGAGATAATCCAGCAATCACACATATTCAAAACCACCAAAAACATACAATTCTACATACCTCATGTGTATATACTCTAATAGGTATTCCAAAAGCTCTGGCAAGACCAAAATCAGCCAGTTTAATTGTTCCTTTGTCATCAATCAATAGATTCTGAGGTTTTAAGTCTCGGTGTAGAACTCTTCTAGAGTGACAAAACACAATCCCTTGTAGGATCTGGTACAAATAGCTCTGGAAGAAGGAAACTTCTGTTAGAAAATTTTCTGTTAGAAACTTAACTGTATAGCACATAATGATTTTCTAAATAATCTTGGTGAGTTTCTTTTGAAAAGGGAAGAAACTATAATGCAGTGAAATTTAACTACCAAAAAGGCTGTCAGCCATTTAAGATGAACAAGTATTTGAAGGTTGAAAAGCCCATTTATATGCAACATCATGTTTGTGCCCCGAAGACAAAAATACTCAACTTATGGACACATCTATAGCCATTGAACTCATTTTGTCTTCTTTGACTGATTCTTGGCCCCTCATTCTTTAAGTCACAAGTTAGTCTCCTATACAAAAGTTTCTTAAACTTTTGGTCTACACACTGATAGCAATCTATTTCTACCCTGAATAAAATTGGTCATTTTCATTTCTATCTTTTATCTTCACATATTTATTCCCTCTTGGGAAACATTGGTCAGATTCCAAAAGAAATAACAAAGAAGATACTATGATTATGTTAAAATAGATACAATGATCAAAAATAGCTATTTAGTAGTTCAGAGGTGTTTTATAACACACCTGGAGGAGTCGTTTACCCAAGCTGGTATAAGGATCAGATATTTTTACTCTGTACACTTCACTGCTCTTTAAACAATTATGTATACATTTAGTTTCTAACAGAACATAATATCTACAATTAATTAATCAAAACATATTCAAAACCAGAAAAAATAAAACCACCCACCACCTCCACCTTGCCCCAGGCTTTTGTTACTTTGTTTTACTAGTCTGACAGCCAAATAAAGACCAGAATATCTTAGTTTCCAACAGTACAATACCTAATTATTAGTTTTGTTTTCTTGAAGACTACTCTTCACTTTATAATTAGAAGCACTATTTAGTAATAAAATGGCAACTGTTAACAATCTAATCTGACTTTGGAAGAAGAATGAAATACTCTCTTGTTCCTCATTCTACTTTCTAACACTTTTCCCAAGCATATTCCTACAAAACACAGGCATTTACATAGAGTAGGCCCTTTACATTCAGTAAATAAGCACTAGTAAAATTAAGCAAGTTTCTCACCTTAACAAGTGAAGAATCCATGAATTGACCAGGAGGGATCGAGTCCAAGTATTTCTTTAAATCCATGGAAAGGTATTCAAAGATGAGATATAACCTGGAATCCTGCATGAGCACATCTTGAAGACTAAAAAAATAAAATAATTATATAAAAAATATAGAATATACATTTTTGACTTCTCTCATAAAATAACTTCCCTAAATTTCACAGTGGCTTTAAGATATTTTCTGTAACAACAAATATATACCGTTTTGGGAAAGAAGAGAATGGTAGCTTCCCTAATGAAAACCCTCCATAGTAGTACTAAACAAGAATTTGAGAAGAAATCTCAGGGCAGCAATTGATAATTAAGTTGTATAGGAGTTGCTAACTGTCAAACTACTTATATCCCAAGACATTTCTAGACTGACTGGTTGTTGGTCAGAGCTGTCTTTCTACTGAGATAAATTACAGAAATAAATTTTGAAGTAGTATCTAACCTTAAAAGTTGCTATCTCCCCCGATCCCCCACAAATTCAATTAAATCCTACCTTGGACCTCTAGAAAGACAACCCACTCCAAAATACCAACCTACATACTTAAAAAGAGGAAAGAAAAAGAAAAAAAACACTATGCTTTGTTGTCTGACCTGACTCGCTGTCTTAGGACTCTGATTAAGGGATCTTTAAGCACCAGAGCTCTGAGTGAAAAGAGTTGGCAAAGTTCAGTGAAAAGGTCTTCCTTTTCTCCCACAGTTTACCTTGATTTTTCAGCCCCAAATACTCATCTCTACGACCAAGCTCCTCTAACTCTGTTCCTGCTTTTAACAGCCTATGTTTTCTAATGCCCAACATCCTCCATTAATAAAAACAGTGGAGTTCCATTCCACCCAGTAAAGTACACAAAAACTAAGCAAATGTAGAAATTTCCACATTGAAACACACATTTTAAATAGCATGCAGATAACAGTTTAAATCCAGATCTTGTACCATACCTGACTATATTTGGGTGACGAAGTTCCTTTAAAAGAGAAATTTCCCGAATTGCAGTACTAGGAACCCCTTCCTCTTCACTTTCCAGTCTGATTTTCTTCATGGCTACCACTTGACCTGTGGTTTTATGTTTACCCTTATACACAACTCCATATGTGCCTGAAATAGACAAAATAAATGTTTGCAATGGGACACTCCTCTACAAACTAAAAGGATTTTAAAAAAATGATTGAATCCCATAAGGCATTACATGAAAGAAATGTCTGCTGTATCCAGATTAAGAAGGATCTTACTCATAATTATAACCTCATCACCTCCAAAAAGAAATTGAGGGTAACTACAACCTATTGCACCTGTAATTGAGAAATAAAATTCATGTAGTCATCACAGGTTTTCCATACATTTAAATCACCAGTAATTTTCCAGCATACATTAGAGAAAATGGACCCTTTGCAAAATGAAATTTATCTCTAGTCAAATATCCTGCCTGACAAATAACGTAGGCAAAAATACAACAGAAAGATCTGGGAAATCTTTTTTTTTTTTTAAGATTTATTTATTTAGAGAAAGAGAGAAACAGGAATGTGCGGTTGCTGGGGGCCATGGCCTGCAACCCAGGCATGTGCCCTGGCTGGGAATCGAACCTGCGACACTTTGGTTCTCAGTCTGCGCTCAATCCACTGAGCTACGCCAGCCAGGGCTAGATCTGGGAAATCTTAACGGGAAATATTAACAGGAGCCACTTTCTGAAAACTCTGTAAGCATTATTTTACTCATCTCAAATATGGTCAATAATCCTCATCCAGAGAAGAATGGGGATAAAGTATTTTATTAAATGCATATTAAGTCTTATAAAAGTCACACTATTTACCACATAGCAGAAAAGCACCACGCCCCTTCAGAAGTTGATGAGAATGCCGATTTTGATACTTGGGCTGCCTACAATAAGCAACAATGTCAATACAGACTGAACTGGGGATGGAGATGGCAGTAATAAAAGATGGATCACTTAGCTAAATCAATTCATACACATGATATATGTAATCTCCTAGAGAGTGGTTTTTAAACTGCAGTTGAAAAACTTAGGGAAGTCTTGAACCCCTTAATTACTGAGTTAACCAAAAAGCCCATTTAGTTTTTTTCCGTAAAATAAAAGACACTTTTTTCATTTTCACCACTAACTTTATTGATTTGAAAATTTAGGTAAAAAAAAATTTACCATCTTAAAAATAATTGTAGGCAACTAAAAGTATATCATGAAACAACATAATTCTGCTCCCAACACATATATAAGACATCAATAGTCTTATCAAAATACAAATATTGTTTTAATTGGTTAGTATTAGAATATAAGATTATCAAGAAGGAAGGTTGTCAGGGAGTCATCAGAATAATCTCAATTCTCTTGAAATGTGAGCATTCTTTGTTATTTTTGTGTTTGTTATTATGCCAAGAATATGTATTAATGCACATTAATAGTGTAAGATACATTAAAAGTTGGATTTTAGTAAAATACCATACATTGTCTTCATGTCACAGATATTATAGCATCATTAAATCATTTAAAACTTTTATATTAAGAAGCACTCACCTTCTCCAATTTTCTCTATTTTGATATAGTCTTCCATTGTCAATCAATAGCTATGGTAGATGCTAAAATTAAAGGAAAAAATTATGTCACTATATGCCACTAATTCAAAGGTCAGTCTTAAGTTATTAATGAGATACTATATGTAAAGCTGTTTCTACTAGTGCAGTATTACTTTTTCATAAATATTAGTTATTATATTAAAAGAATATTTACAGGGGAAAGGACTCATGCAATCAGATTTTCCCACAATTTCTTAGCTCCTTAAACATTAGAAATATTTATATATCTTATACCAGTGATTTAGCTTCTTCCAAATAAACCCTCGAGTTGAGACATCAGCTTATCTGTCCCAAGCCAAAACCAGAAGTATGCTTTCTTATGGAACACTTCTAAGGAGCACATTGTGTGCCAAACACCCAGATATTTCAACAAACAATGTTATTTGACTGAGTTTTTACTGCTTTATGATTTTATGAAGATAATCTTAAGATAAGTGGGGAGCCAAAATGCAGTCACACTGCCGACTCATCAGAAAAATTGTCAAGGGCCCTGGCAAGGTAGCTCAGTTGGTTAGAGGTCACCTGGTAACACCAAGGCTGGGAGTTTGATCCCTGGTCAGGACACAGACAAGAATCAACTGACGAATGCATCAATAAGTGGAACAAAAAAGATGTTTTTCTCTCTCCCTCTCTTTCTCTAAAATAAATGAATTTTAAAAGAAATATTATTAAAATCATAAGTGTTTAAACTTGCTCAAGTGACTTTTCATCTCCCTCCTGTTTTTAGCAGTCACACACACAAACAGGATGAAGACTTTAAAGGTCTTTTTTGAAGGAGTAGGAAATATCACTTAGCAGCCTAAAAGAAAAGATGCAATTTCACAGATAAAATTCTAATTCTATACAATCTCAAGAACAAATTTTAAAAAATACTTGAATAACAAAGAATGGTTAAAAAAAAGTTAGAATGCTGACAAGTATGCCTCAGTAAATTTGCCAATGAAACTTTAGAAACCCAAAGCACAATTGATTTTCCAACACTCATCACTGATAAGATTGCATATAAAGGTTGCTGAGTTAACTGACCCTTAAGTTCCATTTCCCATATTCATCTTCAAAATCATTCCAGAAATAAGTAGAATAAATCACCTTTTTTAAATGAACAAAACTGGACTACATCGGCCATGAGTACCAATCTTAAAAATTTTCAATTTTAGGAAATGGCAATATAAGATTAAGATAATCAGCTTTTCTTCAAATCCAGATTTAGTATGTCTAGTGCACAATAAAATCGTTGAGCGCACTTTGAACAAACAGCTAAAAACCAACTCAGTTTCAAAGTTGGGTTTAAGTACCCTTCCTCCATTTTCCCGTTGTGACAATTCTAAATGAGGACAAGCTTTAGGCCTTCTGAGTGCCTCCTAGGGCTGTGTACTACGCAGCGTGTAAAGCACCAGTGGCTTAACCTCCTGCCTAGAAGACTTCCAGGTCTTTAGAGGAAGTATGTTGTGCACAATGGTATGAAGCAAAAATCGATTAAAAGATATTAAAACCCACATATTTATCTATCTTTCGACATTACTTAACTTGCTACTTTTTGCTAATTCCATACATGCAACAACCATACGCATACAATAAAAACAAACAAAAAATCCAAGTCCCCCCCTCGCCCTATGCCTTGGCTAGGTGTTCTTAAAAAGCTCTGGGCGTGCAAGGCCAGGGCACAGAGGCAAGTCCGAGAAGGCCCACAAGTTGGTTCACAGGATTGGTTTTCGAGGCGCCTGGATTCAAGGGCTGGCGTGGGTACCTGGCCCAAGAGCGGTCTTGCTTTCCACCCACGAAAGCTAGGACAAAGGACCTGGGACCGAAATTGGCTCAAGCGCTCGGCGCGGTCGAGACAAAGCACGGATTTAGCTTCAACGGGGACAAAAAACCCTCCTTAGCCAGGTGAGCGGCCTCTTCCGGACAACAGCCGACCACGACCTCAGACAGCAACTCAGATGCCAGGACAGCTCCATCCCTCCCTGGAGTAAACCCGCCAGCACCGCGCTTCCCCTCGCCTCGCCCGAAAGCCTGGCCCGGCGTCGCTCACACGGCGGGGGCCGGGGGCTCCCAGTGAAAGCCAGGCCTAGCATCCTGAGGCCCGGCCTGGCCCCACGCAAACCCCAGCTGCCCACTTAGCCGCCGGACAATACCACCTGGTCCCTCAATACCCCCCCTCCAAGGCCACCGAGCCGCCCCCTGTCGGCCCTACAGATACGACCCTGACCCCAGTAACTCTACCCGGCCAATCACCCCGCAGCGAAAGCAGCGGTGGCTGCGGCTACCACGTCTGCGTCCCGTCTCAACTTCTCAGAGCCAGCTTGGAAGATAAGTGCAAGCAGTTTCAAACTCACCGCGCTAAAGGGCCCCGGACCCACCAATCAGATAACGCGTAGACTTTCAAAGGAGCCAATCAGAGCCAAGTCATGCTTGAGCTGGCCTTCCCCGCTGGCTAGAGCGCCAAACTAAAAGAAAACGGCGGCTTCAGAAAAAGCAGGAGGGCGGGCGCAAACTGAGTCTGTGCGCAAGCGCAGTCTTGCCTCCCGGGAGAGCGTCGTGCTACTGTTTCTAGTCATCAGAGATCTACTGTTAGCTCTGAGCTGGTTTCTTTCACCTCCCAGTATTAGCACAAATATTTTAGTGTACACAAATACTCATCACAAAAGTGATACCATATTTGCACCCATATTCCACTACTTTCACTTTTAGTACTTAAAGGTAGAAAATGTTTTTCTAAACGGATGACTTTCGGGCTGCACCGAAGGAACGTATTTTAATAATTACCTTAAGAAGACAACGGAAAGCTAAAAGATGGTCTCAATGATGTAAAGAATATATATGTAATATTAAACACGCTTTGTTTTTACCTCACTTTTTAATTCATCTTGTATTTATTTAAAATTTTACTTATTTAAAAATAAAAGACAAAATTTTACATTTAAAAGGTTTAATATTTTCCCGTCAGTATTTTAAATGTTCTTTAAAACAAAAAAAAATCAAAATTCTATACAGAAAGAAAAAGAGATCTAAATTATATTTTAACTAAATCAAAAACTTTCTCTTTAATTGCTCTTTACCTTATATTTAAGAGAGACTTCAGCACTTAAAAATCATCCTTAAATATTGAAAAAATAAAAGAGTAAAATAGAACTGCAGATAGTAAGAGTCCCCTAGTCAGGATTTCTCTTTGTTCTGACCCTAAGGGGATCCAGAACAAAGATTGATTGCCATGACGTCTAAAAATAAGTATTAGATGACCCAGACTAGGATAAGGAATAGAACTAGTATATCACATCCCTGTAAGTGTTTACTACCTTTTTACATAATGAGTAGCATATGTCATCTGGCCCTAAAGTGGCAGAAACAATGTTATGCTCCTAGGTGACATAGGCAGAGCATTCATAGTGAGGGTAGGGGTTTGGAAAACCTCTGCCTAAACCTAATAACTTTTAAAGCTTACATTCAAAAGCCCACATTCACATTTTAAGTGAAAACTGACTACCCCAGAAAAATGTTCTTAGATAGAGTACTGTATATATTCTATCTTTCTGTGTATACATATATCTTTCTCTCTGGGAGGCCCAATTAACAAATTTAATATACATTATCTTAAAAACAGGCAGCAATTCATTATATCCACTTTGCATTCAATATTAAGAGAACACAAGTGTCCACAGCTGTGATTCTATACTTTTAAATTTAATTCAATTATCTTTGTTTTTGAAGTTTTAAGGGTTATTGTAAATTCATGCTAGTTTATTACACTTAGGGTCCACTTTTACTCAGTGTCTTTAAAGTGCGATGCTGTATTTCATAAAAAGAAAACTCAATCAGATACAACTTTTGTAGGCGTGGAGTGGGAACACACAATGATTACTTGGAATACTCTTCTGGCATTTAGGCTGTAAACTGCTATAAGGTCATATGAGAACATAGAGGAGGAAATTATTAATTCAAACAGAGAAAGTAACATTTGAACAAACAGGAGAAAAAGTAGAGGGGTGGGCCTTCTAAGTACTGGAAACATCTCGGGTAAAGCCCTAAAAGTCTGCCCAAGTAATTCAGGATGACTCCATCGTAGGACGCAGGATGCCTGTAGGGTTAAGTAGGGAAGAGAGTTTGGAGTCAGAATTTTCAAGAGCCCTGAATACTGTTGTAAGGGTCTGCTCAGGAGAGGATACAGCCTTGGAACCAGATTTTAGAACTATTTTAGAGGTGATATGAAAAAAAGAACTGAAGAGGAGAGGGTGGAAAGGCAGGTGCTCCAAAGAATTTCACATTTATATTTTGATAAACTCCATCTAGAAAGAAAAGGAACTGCACAGAAAGTTTTTGTTTTGTTTTTGGAAATAAATATTGCTGTGGACTGACTTATACCCCCCGCCCCAAGAAATTCACATATGAAGCTCCAACTCCTAGTGTGATGGTATTTAGAGACGGAGGTCATTGGGAGATAACTAGGTTTAAATGAGACCCATGAAGTTGACATTTTTAATGATGGGATTAGTCCTTTTATAAGAAAAGACACCTGAGAGCTCAGTCCCGTGAAGACACAGCAAGAAGCCTCCATCTATAAAGTGGAGAGCTCTCCCCTGAACCCGACTACGCGGGCACCTTGATCTCTCACTTCCATACTCCAGAACTGGGAGGAAATTAATTTTTGTAGTTTACGTCACCCAGTCTGTGGTATTTTGTTGTGACAGACCAACGTACTAATTCAAGTGTTTTTTCAGATTAAAAAAAAAGTTTGAGAAACAGTTACTTGTAACCACAGTAGTCCCCCTCCTTCCCCTTATTAGCAATTTCACTTTCCATGGTTTCAGTTACCTACAATCTACTGGGGTCCAAAAATGTTGAATGGGAAATTACGAAAGTAAACAAACCATAAGTTTTAAATTGTGCACCATTCTGAGCATTGCGCTGAAATCTCGCCTGGTCCCACACGGGTATGAACCATCCCTTTGCCCAATATCCACACTGTAGATGCGCCCCATGTCCCCGCTAGTCACTCTGTAGCTGTCTTGCTGATCAGATTAACTGCCGCAGTATCGCAGTGCTTGTGTTCAAGGGACTATTATTTTACCCAGTAACGGCTCTGAAGCATGAGTAGTGATGCTGGCAATTTGGACCACGCCAAAAAGAAGCCATAAGTGCTTTCTATAGTGAAAATGTGAAAGTTTTAGGCTTTAAAAGGAAAGAAAAAATATATATGCTGAAGTTGATAAAATCTACAGAAAGAACAAATTTACCCATGAAATTGTGAGGAAAGAAAAATAAAATGGTGGTAGTTTTGCTGTTGAACCTGAAACTGCAAAAGTTACAGCAGCAATGCATGGAATGGGCTTAGGTAAGATGAAAAAGACATTTACTTTATCATAGGTATCTATGTATAAAAACAGAATGTGTGTGTGTGTGTGTGTGTGTGTGTGTGCACGCGGGTGTACATATATTTTGTCTTGGAACATGTGCCCTGCAAATAAGGGATAACCATTATACATAAAATACCTTGGAAGGAAATGCAAGAGACTGTTAACAATGTGCCACTGTGAAGGAAAAGAGCAACTGGGGCACTGAGGTAGCAGGGAGGCTTTCGTATCCTTTGAATTTTGAGCCATGCGAGAGTGTATTACCTAGCCCAAAAGTGAATGAATGAATGAATGAATGAATGCATCTTGCCAAGGACTTTTTTGCTGCAGGATACAACTCATAGAAGTTGCTGAAAATTTTATCCGAAAGAGAAGACTGATCTTCTTTTACATCAATTCAGAAAGTAAAATGATGGAAAAAGCAAGACCTACAGTTTCAAGATCTTTTTATCAAAATGGAAAACATTGAGCTATCATCGTTGTTTCTGAGTTAGGCATTTTCCTAACAAAGTCATAGGTGATTTTGGGGCAAAGTTTTCAAACAATTTCATAATAAAAGCTTATTGTATATAACCTCCATGGCCCCACTCTCATTCTCCCAACAAAAGGGAGTCCAAGAAGGATCATTGTGAACACTGGCATTCCGTACATTACATGCACAGGTGCCAACCTGCCTCAGTCTTCCATTGGAATTTCAGGAAATAAGGATGGGGTAGGGAGAAGAGATTCATCCATTCACCTTGGGACCAGTGAGGATCACTGGGTCTTCTTGTCTAGGTGAGTAGAAAATGCTTACAGGGCCATAGGTAAAGGCTGCCCTGTGCAGAGAATGGCGGTTATTAGGAGTCACATGAGAGCAGTGCTGGGCAGAGGGGTCAGACAAGGCTCCACAGTAGAGGCGGCATCTGAAATGACTCTTGAGGGGTGAAGAGTTTGGCCAGCAGTTACATGAGTAGGGAGAGCTTTCTGGTCCATGGAGAACAAATAACAAGGCACATTTGATGGACTGAAATTAATTTAGCAATGCCAGAATATAAAAGGAATCTGGGAGCTGGAGAAAGGGTCAGAAAAAATATGCCATAGCATAGATATGGTATAGATACCGTATCTCAAATGGCTTTTATGGGTCATGCTAAAAGGATTTGAATTAGATAATGATTATGGCATGTAAATTTTTAGAATTTCTGTCAAATTTGAGAAAACATCTACTTTCTCTCACATAGCTGTTTATACTGCTGCTCTAGGTTTATGCCCTACATCACAAGAATTATAAACTATTCCAGTTTGCTTGATTATAAGCATTCCAGATTCCAAAAACTATTGGATGTATTTATAATTGTTCATTCTGTGTTAAAAAAGTATATTCCTGACACAAGATAAGTTCATTTTAGATGAGGTAATGATATAATTTTATGCATCTGATAATTGGAAGAATTTTCCATAGGTTAACTTCTCTCTTACCCATTGCCCACTTACTCAGAGGTCAGATAAGTTCTCTGAACCTATGCCTTCATTCCCAGATGCCAGGAGAGTCAGCAGAATGACTTAAAGGAGTGTTGCCAGAAGCCATTCCTACATTAGGTCTGCCGGCAATAACTTGGAAGTGTGTGGACACATAACTAGATACTAGGAATCCTAAATTAAACATATCCTCAACTCAGTTTCCCCTGTGTTGAATTCCAACAATGTCCAGCCTCTTGCCAATGCCACTGGATGGTGGGGAGTGAAGTGGAAAGAACCAGTGGCCTTAACGAATTGTGGTTAAAATACCTTATTTTATATAATTTACAAAATCATGACCACATGAACAGTTCTCTCAGAGCTCTAGAAAGTGTCTGTTCAAAGGCAGGACCCTGACCTTAATCTTCATTCCTCTGTTACCTTATCTAACTGTTAGATCATCATGAATCTAACTCTGAAACTGGCATACAATTTCATACATATTTGGAGGCAGGAAAAATGATCAGGGCTGTTGTTTTGGTTGAAAC